TGTTTTTTTCTACTTATTAGAAATGAGGTTTTTATTGGTGTTTATAGTTGAATAGTGACGTTTATCTTCAAAACGCTGCAGTAAAATGGCTAGATAATTGGTGAGCACACTCTATGGGAAGTCCCGTACATGACCTGACCATTGTTTTTTTCTACTTATTAGAAAATAGGTTTTTATAGGTGTCTAAAGTAGAAGAGAGGCCTATATCTCCAAAACGCTGCAGTAAAATGGTTAGATAATTGGTGTGCACACTCTACGGGACGTCCCGTACATGACCTGACCATTGCTTTTTTCTACTTATTAGAAATGAGGTTTTTATTTGTGTCTAAAGTAGAAGAGAGGCCTATATCTCCAAAACACTGCAGTAAAATTGCTAGATAATTGGTGAGCACACACTATGGGACATCCCGTACATGACCTGACCATTGTTTTTTCTACTTATTAGAAAATATTTTTTATAGGTGTCTAAAGTAGAAGAGAGGCCTTGTCTCCAAAACGCTGCAGTAAAATGGTTAGATAATTGGTGTGCACACTCTACGGGACGTCCCGTACATGACCTGACCATTGCTTTTTTCTACTTATTAGAAATGAGGTTTTTATTTGTGTCTAAAGTAGAAGAGAGGCCTATATCTCCAAAACACTGCAGTAAAATTGCTAGATAATTGGTGAGCACACTCTATGGGACATCCCGTACATGACCTGACCATTGTTTTTTCTACTTATTAGAAAATATTTTTTATAGGTGTCTAAAGTAGAAGAGAGGCCTATATCTCCAAAACGCTGCAGTAAAATGGTTAGATAATTGGTGTGCACACTGTATGGGATGTCCTGTACATGACCTGACCATTGTTTTTTTCTACTTATTAGAAAATGTTTTTTATACGTGTCTAAAGTAGAAGAGAGGCTTATATCTCCAAAATGCTGCAGTAAAATTGCTAGATAATTGGTGAGCACACTCTATGGGACATCCCGTACATGACCTGACCATTGTTTTTTTCTACTTATTAGAAATGAGGTTTTTATTGGTGTTTATAGTTGAATAGTGACGTTTATCTTCAAAACGCTGCAGTAAAATGGCTAGATAATTGGTGAGCACACTCTATGGGAAGTCCCGTACATGACCTGACCATTGTTTTTTTCTACTTATTAGAAAATAGGTTTTTATAGGTGTCTAAAGTAGAAGAGAGGCCTATATCTCCAAAACGCTGCAGTAAAATGGTTAGATAATTGGTGTGCACACTCTATGGGACGTCCCGTACATGACCTGACCATTGTTTTTTTCTACTTATTAGAAATGAGGTTTTTATTTGTGTCTAAAGTAGAAGAGAGGCCTATATCTCCAAAACACTGCAGTAAAATTGCTAGATAATTGGTGAGCACACTCTATGGGACATCCCGTACATGACCTGACCATTGTTTTTTCTACTTATTAGAAAATATTTTTTATAGGTGTCTAAAGTAGAAGAGAGGCCTATATCTCCAAAACGCTGCAGTAAAATGGTTAGATAATTGGTGTGCACACTCTATGGGACGTCCCGTACATGACCTGACCATTGTTTTTTTCTACTTATTAGAAAATGTTTTTTTATACGTGTCTAAAGTAGAAGAGAGGCCTATATCTCCAAAACGCTGCAGTAAAATTGCTAGATAATTGGTGAGCACACTCTATGGGACATCCCGTACATGACCTGACCATTGTTTTTTTCTACTTATTAGAAATGAGGTTTTTATTGGTGTTTATAGTAGAATAGTGACGTTTATCTTCAAAACGCTGCAGTAAAATGGCTAGATAATTGGTGAGCACACTCTATGGGAAGTCCCGTACATGACCTGACCATTGTTTTTTTCTACTTATTAGAAAATAGTTTTTTTATAGGTGTCTAAAGTACGAAAAGGGGCCTATATCTAGTAAAGCGCTGCAGTATAGCGTTCTATATGACGTTAAAGGATGAGAACGGGCTGGGACGTCCCGTACATGACCTGACCATTGTTTTTTTCTACTTATTAGAAATGAGGTTTTTATTGGTGTTTATAGTTGAATAGTGACGTTTATCTTCAAAACGCTGCAGTAAAATGGCTAGATAATTGGTGAGCACACTCTATGGGAAGTCCCGTACATGACCTGACCATTGTTTTTTTCTACTTATTAGAAAATAGGTTTTTATAGGTGTCTAAAGTAGAAGAGAGGCCTATATCTCCAAAACGCTGCAGTAAAATGGTTAGATAATTGGTGTGCACACTCTATGGGACGTCCCGTACATGACCTGACCATTGTTTTTTTCTACTTATTAGAAAATGTTTTTTTATACGTGTCTAAAGTAGAAGAGAGGCTTATATCTCCAAAATGCTGCAGTAAAATTGCTAGATAATTGGTGAGCACACTCTATGGGACATCCCGTACATGACCTGACCATTGTTTTTTTCTACTTATTAGAAATTAGGTTTTTATTGGTGTTTATAGTTGAATAGTGACGTTTATCTTCAAAACGCTGCAGTAAAATGGCTAGATAATTGGTGAGCACACTCTATAGGAAGTCCCGTACATGACCTGACCATTGTTTTTTTCTACTTATTAGAAAATAGGTTTTTATTGGTGTCTAAAGTAGAAGAGAGGCCTATATCTCCAAAACGCTGCAGTAAAATGGTTAGATAATTGGTGTGCACACTCTATGGGACGTCCCGTACATGACCTGACCATTGTTTTTTTCTACTTATTAGAAATGAGGTTTTTATTGGCATTTATAGTACAATAATGGCCTATATCTCCAAAACGCTGCAGTAAAATGGTTAGATAATTGGTGTGCACAATCTATGGGGCGTCCCGTACATGACCTGACCATTGTTTTTTTCTACTTATTAGAAATGAGGTTTTTATTTGTGTCTAAAGTAGAAGAGAGGCCTATATCTCCAAAACGCTGCAGTAAAATGGTTAGATATTTGGTGAGCACACTCTATGGGACGTCCCGTACATGACCTGACCATTGTTTTTTTCTACTTATTAGAAATTAGGTTTTTATTTGTGTCTAAAGAAGAATAGAGGCCTATATCTCTAAAACGCTGCAGTAAAATGGTTAGATATTTGGTGAGCACACTCTATGGGACGTCCCGTACATGACCTGACCATTGTTTTTTTCTACTTATTAGAAATTAGGTTTTTATTTGTGTCTAAAGAAGAATAGAGGCCTATATCTCCAAAACGCTGCAGTAAAATGGTTAGATAATTGGTGTGCACACTATATGGGACGTCCCGTACATGACATGACCATTGTTTTTTTCTACTTATTAGAAAATAGGTTTTTATAGGTGTCTAAAGTAGAAGAGAGGCATTGGGACATTAGGACATGGGACATTTAATTTATGAGAAACTGTCATTTTAATACTAAAAAAACATGAAAAAAGAGGCATTTAAAAAGAGTGTATACTTTTTTTATCTCTTTTTACAAATAATTATGCTGTAAACCTGTACATAAAAAATGTCTTGAGGTGTTACCTGTAAAGAAAAAAAACAAAACATATGTCAAAGAATTACAAATGTCAAAGACGAAATGAGTGTATATAAAAAGGAAAACAGAGTAACACAAAAACATTCTCAAAACATGGAATATATCATCATAGATAGATAGATAGATAGATAGATAGATAGATAGATAGATAGATAGATTAATTACAAAGAAAGAAAGGAAGAAAGAAAGAAAGAAAGAAAATAGATAGATAGATAGATAGATAGATAGATAGATAGATAGATAGATAGATAGATAGATAGATAGATAGACAGATAGATAGATTAATTACAAAGAAAGAAAGAAAGAATGAATGAAAGAATGAAAGAAAGAAAGAAAAAATAGAAAGACAGAAAGAAAGAAAAATAGAAAGAAAGAAAGAAAGAATGAAAGAAAGAAAGAAAAATAGAAAGATAGAAAGAAAGAAAATAGAAAGAAAGAAAGAAAGAAGAAAGAAAGAAAGAAAGAAAGAAAGAAAGAAAATAGAAAAAGAAAGAAAGAAAAATAGAAAGATAGAAAGAAAGAAAAAATAGAAAGATTGAAAGAAAGAAATTAAGATAGAAAGAAAGAATGAAAGAAAAAAAATAGAAAGAAAGAAGAAGAAAAAGAAAAAAAAAAAAAAGAAAAAGAAAGAAAAATAGAAAGATAGAAAGAAAGAAAAAGTAGAAAGAAAGAAAATAGAAAGAAAGAAAGAAAGAAAGAAAGAAAGAAAGAGAATGAAAGAAAGAAAGAAAAATAGAAAGAAAATAGATAGATAGATAGATAGAGAGAGAGAGAGAGAGAGAGAGAGAGAGAGAGAGAGAGAGAGAGAGAGAGAGAGAGAGAGAGAGAGAGCGAGCGCTGGCAACTGAAGCGCCATGAAAGCGCATTCTCTTTGCCGTTACTGAAATTACCGTATTCATAGTAATAGGCGCACACGCTTATTTTTTTAGCGGCTGGCTTGACCGTGTATTTTCAAACTGCGGCTGGCTTGACCGCGGTTCTATTACTTCATATACGTAGAGAAATCAATACATCTCAGGCTGCTTTCACGTGTAGAGCTGTTTACTCTCTCTCTCTCTCTCTCTCTCTCTCTCTCTCTCTCTCTCTCTCTCTCTCTCTCTCTCTCTCTCTCTGTGTGTGTGTGTGTGTGTGTGTGTGTGTGCGCGCGCGCGCTCGCATTTACGAAAATGAAGTTTATTCAAGTGTGCTTTAGTATACTTATTTTAAACTAAAAAACAAGAAAGTATACGTTCAGTACAACATACAACAATACAATACAACAAAAATTAGCTCAGGATGGAACTGGACTATGGTGATGAAAGAAACATAGGCCTAAATGCTACTCATGAACATAGGCTTAGTATGGTGAAATGACATAAAATCTTTTTGTTTTGTCTTCTACAGGCCTCAAATTTAAATTATTAAAATTATCAAATACATTAATATAAGTTAATTATGCAGCATTTAAAAAGTTAAGTTAATAAAACCATTAGCAATCATCTTTCTGTGGTGGAATAGGTCCTGTACCACCAAATGCAACAGTGGTCTTTGAGGTGGAGCTTTTGTTCATAACCAGAGGACCACGCAGCATAGAAGCCTTCAAAGAAATTGATGCTGACGATGACAAGGCCCTGACAAAAGATGAGGTAATTATGTAATACTGTTATATCATGAATTTACTTTGCCTTAATGATTATTTATTTATTATTATTTACATATTTTGTGTTTTTTGTATTTACAGATTAAAGAATACTTGAAAATGGAAGCACAGAAGTTAAATACACAGAAAGATGAATCCTATTTTGATGATGTTGTGGCAGATGTGTTCCAAAAGAATGATCACAATGCTGATGGGACCTTATCACTCACGGAGTACAACGTTTATGGGCATGACGAGCTGTAAACACTGCTAGACAGCTCATGCAGTCATGCACTGGACTTTCTTTACAAGATACTCTTCACATTGTGATCAAGGATTTTTCACCACTACAATTTAAATAAAGTTGACTGAAATACTAACTTCCACTGATTGTGTCAGGCAAAAACACTGAATAGAGAAGATGCTTTTAAAAAATCTTTTTAGAACTATTTTTTTCAAAATGCTTGCATGTCAAGTCCAGTCACCTTTAATTATATAGCACTTAATACAATACAGATTGTTTCAAAGCAGCTTTACAGTGAGTTCATTTCTGCTGTAAAGCAGCTCTAAAAGATAGTGTAAAATAGTGTATAGTGTAAAATAGTGTTATTGTTCAGCTGAAGTCAATTCAGTGTTGATTCAGTTCCATTGTAAAGATCATCAATTTAGCTCTAAAAAGAATCATACATTGTCTATATACAATCATCTATAAAGCAGTTCTGCATAAACTGTGACTGTCCAGCTTAGTTCAGTTCTCATCCAATCGTCAATTGACATGTCAATAACTTTATTGAATATTTTCCAATTGATCAAACCAGGGTTTTTGTTTTGTTTTTTAGTTGAACACCACAGAATAAAATATTTTAAATAAAACAATACACAGATGCACAATTTATAATGTGTATTTGAATATCACTCATATATGACATCTATACATTGTGCAGCCTCAAAGTACTCAAGAGTTAAGTATCTCCAACAAAACTATTGTAAAACATGTAAGAATAATGTGTCATTGCAACCTCAGACATAGAAGGCTATGATGCATACTGTGTGAAGCTGGTTATCCTTAACTCTAATAACTCCTCATTTAAAAGCCAGCACCTTTCAAAATTTGTTCTCAGGATATCTGATACACCATATTCAATCTAAAAATAAAAGGTAACACTTTATAATAACTGCACACTATTAATCATTAGTTAAGCGTGAGTAAACAGTTAATTCATCATTTATAAAACATTAATAGACATTAATATGCAGTTTATAAATACAGCTATACATGTTTTTTTCTTGATTTATAAGTATATCTATAATGCGTTTAATGAGTGTATTTTCATACTTTGTTAATGATCAATTAATAATTTCTAAATGAAGTATAGCATTATTTACAAACCAGTTGTTTAAGAGTTGTCAGTCATTCATAAGATCACTTAGAAAGTGTAAGTAAATGTAGTAAATACAGGTAGTTATAAAGCATTTAGTAGTGGTTAGTTAACTATTTTTGTGAGCTAATCTAAAGTGAGGACTATTCATGCTTTGTAAAGCATTTATAAAGGTGATTTAAAGACTCGTCAATCTTCTAAACAGTAAAATGTAACAAACACAACGCAGTGATACAGAACATAGAAATATTTAAAAGCCTTTAAAAATGCTTTACAAGGTATGACTAGTCCTCACTTTAGATGAGCTCACAAACATAGTTAACTGACCACTACTAAATGCTTTATAACTACCCAAATTAACCCTTAATTACAACATTAATACATGTTAATAAAGAATTTATTAACACATTAAGTAACCATCACTATATGTCTGAATAATAAGATGTATGAATGTACATTTAAATAGTTTATTAATCATTTACTTACTCGCTCTAAGTAATCGTATGAACCACTGAAAACTCTTAAATAACTGGTTAATAAAAAATGCAATTCTTCATTTAGAAATGATAAATTGATCATTAATAAAGGATAAAAATACAATTATTAAACAAATTATAGATATGCTTTTAAATCAAGAAGAAAGCATTTATAGCTGTGTTTATGAACTGCTTATTAATGTCTATTAATGCTTTATGAATGATGAATTAATGGTTTACTCATGCTTAACTAATGATTATTAGCGTGTAGTTATTATAAAGTGTTACCAAATAAAAGGTTACTTATTGGCATATGTGTCCATAAAGAACATTTAACATCCTTGGAACATTTCCATTACACAAAAATACAATATAAAGTAGGGTAGACTGGGTACAGTTGAGACACTTTTTGCATTTTGAATTTTCACACAAAAATAGATACTGAAAAGACGTGAATTTCCACATGACATGTCACATGACATTTCATTAGCTTGTAGACTAAGATGTTATCAATTATTACTCATAAGTAGTTTATATTTTCCACAATTAGCTCATAAAAATAAGGTGCTTTTTGTTTCAACTTTGTCTCAACTGTACCCATATGTGGTACAGTTGAGACAATACCATGGTACAGTTGAGACACCCATTTTTAATGATGTAAAGGTAACTAATCATTCATTGAAAATATAATAAATAAAGACATAAATAAAAAAAAAATAACAATTGGGCAACATGTTTGTTTATTTATCCATTTGAATTCATTACTTTTATTTTAATTAGCACTTGTTAAATTTTATAAAACAGAAATAATATATTCTATATATTAATTAATAATACACAGTTAATGATCACAAATACCACATTTTTATTTCATTTGCAGCTTATGCTGGCTAATTATGACATTTAACCTGTTATCATAACACTGAACAACTAAACAGTGTGTTTCCTAATTGAACTCTATCACGGGTATACAGTTGAGACAGTGTTGTCTCAACTGTACCCCGCTGGCCACCTCGCGCATTTCTCTAGATTTTGCAATGACCATGCATGACACAATACCATGAAATATGCCCATTTTTAGGGCACAGAATAACGTTTGTGATTATACCAGTCACGTTTAACAGTCACATAAGGATAATAAGCTATTCATTGTGGAGTGTGCATGGTGAAGTGAATGTCTTACCTTAGAAAAAAACACTTTTGCCAATATCTTTGGATCGGAGATACGCCCATTGATCAAATTTCCCACGATCAAAGAGGACACTAATACGCATGTGCACAGCAAAAATCACAACTTTTGCTGGCTGCGCACGCAAGATATTTAAGGTGTCTCAACTGTACCTACAGTATGTCTCAACTGTACCCGTCCTACCCTAGTTAAAAATTTGCAAACTATACTGTAGTTAATCATAGTTTATATATTGAAGTCTCTACATTGTTTAAAAGGCTGATTGATTATGATTTAATTTTTCTAACTTTAGTATATAATGCTGCTGTTTGAGCATAAACAACATCTGCAAAGTTGCGACACTCAAAGTTCAAAGCAAAGGAAGGATATTTTATTTTACAGTCACGACTTCACAAGCTTCCTCCCGGGTTAGTGACATCACAAACCCTAAATTTTACATGAACCCCGCTCCCCGAGAACATGTATCAAAGAGGGTAAGTCCAGAAGAGGAAGAGTTGTTGTATTAGAGCACATTTGTGAGTCTGCTCAAACTGTCGCATCCATCTTTTTCACATTTATTACACTACACATAACACAAATGCAATAGCATGTCACTCTGTAAGCATCTTACAACAGTTCCCACACAAGTGATTTATTATCATGACAGAATATGCTATTCAATGATTTGAAGATAGTTAACTCCACATCAGTTACATGAATTCATAAGCTTATAAACGTCCTGTTGCTTTCTACATGTTGTCACCTTATTGAGTCTCTCCATCATTGTCGAACTCCGGTTTAAACATAAAAGAGAACAGTTTCTGACATTTCTGTGCGTGACTGCGTGTCTGCAAGCTGTTAAAAAAGCTCCGCCCTCTTCTTGAGGGGCGGAGCAGCTGCACATTTGTGCTTTTGCTCACCTTCAAAAATGGACCATTTTAACATGTTGTAAAATAAGTCTCTGATGTCCCCAGAGTTTGTATGTGAAGTTTTAGCTCAAAATACCCCAGATAATTTTTTATATCTTGTAAAAAGTGCATTACACCACCCCTTCAATATATCAATAGCCTATGTACAAATACATATAGAGGAAAAAGGTTCTTCAGATTTTTTAAAAGTGTTCTTCACACTAAGAAAAATAGTTATTTTAAAAACTGTTCACTGAAATGTTCTTTGGGGAAACAAAAATAGTTCTTCTGCATGTGGCATCTCTGCAACAAACCCCTTTTAGAGTGTAGATAACTTAGTTTTTCGTACACAGTACACAATAGCTAAACCACTATTTACAATCAAACAATTTAGACAGATGAACTCAAGGATTACGTTTACAAGGATTACAGACATATCACTATCATAGTAAATCCCTATTTATCATTGTACAGTGTTGAATTAAACAATATTTGCTGAACAGTATTTAGACTTAAATAGTATTTGCTAAACAAAATGCATGTGTCTTGTGTTTGGTTGTGAAATAATAAAGAGGTTTTATATGGTCAAAAAGGCACATTTCATTGACAACCCTCACTTCCTTTTAATCTGTGGCCAAGAGCGTTTAAGCTTATTGCCAGCCTTTATGTAGAATAGGCATGACCAATTGTAATGACATTTCGTCATGCTCATTTCTTTAACCTGCAGAGACCCACACTTGAATTACTGTAATTTACCATTCAAATCCTGCTAAACCCATTAAGAACACTAGGTGGCAGTCTAACACAACTATTTACCGTGGTTGAAGGTTTTCTTTGAACCTGCTTTAAAAATACGATTTCTTGTAATTAACTATAACAGAAAAAAGTGAAGAAAAAAAAACTGCCCTGGTTGTTTTATTGGCGAGAGAGATAGGCTAAGAATCTGTTTGATGGGGAGATTTGCATTGTTTTATGAACAAAAATTAAAAAAGACAAACATTGTACCCTTAGAAAATGTAAGAAGTAACAATTACGCATGCATTTCCCAAACAACCAGAGGTCAAAGTTACTATTAAATGAGATCAACCCTTTTAAGCAGAGAACTGATATTTTTGAGCTCGGACTTATAACTTGTTTTTCATGTAGGCTACAACTCTGACTCCCTCAACTCCCCCACATGCCAAAAGTGACGTAAACCATGTCTGTGCCAAGAATCAGAGCAGATCCAGACACTGGAGGGAGAGGGGTAAGAGGAAGACATTGAAATGCAGTGACTGTTTTACTTTCAATGAAAATCGTACAATTTCAGACAAGACGGTTTTGACAAAGCCTTCGAAACAAATCACCACTGGAGCATCATTGGTTTTTAGCTAAAATTTTGGGTGGGACAACAACTCAAAAATCTGAACACTGGCATTGTTAGTAATCTTTATGTCTTTGATTGTTAAA